GAAACCATTGTGTAGCCTGCCTCTCAGTAGGAGTTTGGGGTACCCCTTTAGTACACGGCCGTCACAGATACAAGCCTCCAAGCCAGAGGAAACAAACCCATTTTAACTAAACAATGAGCCAGTGAGAGGAATCCCAGTTCAGTAGACCAAGGCTTTGTGCACAACTACAAGTTTTAGTTCATAGGTCAGTGGTTAGTGCCAGTACAATGACCTACATCCACAGGTCAAGTAGCACTCAGAAGCTAAAGAGAAGACTGTTTACTGTGAATAATGTGTTAGCTGTGTGACTGTTGTACAGTGTAACCTAGACAGGGTGAGATTGGTCCTTGTGTGACCATTTATTTTATGAAATCCTGAAACAGAAAAGTTTGAATAGGCGAGTTTTGACATTGACAAAAACCTTTTCATCCTGCCCAGTATTTCCTGGCGCTTTCTGCATATAAATAGAAAATTAGGCATTCTTAGTAAAGCAAAAAGATGGATTATATTTTTCATCATTCAAAGCCACTTTGAAACTGTTATGGCATTAATCACATTAGTGGCATTAATAAAAGAACAGAAAACAATACACACATTTTCAGAATATTATATTATACAAGAGTATTTCATACAAGGTATGATTGCTAAGGAAGGAGGCCGACAAAGAATCCACAACGTTGCAAGTATAAGCAGAGCCTTAATGAACTGTAAGCCAAGGAGCGATGTCTGCTGTCATTAAGGTGATTTAGAATGTCCGTTCAGGCTGTAGACATAACACACATTCTCTCTGTTTTCTCGGTTCTCTCTGTTCTTCGGGAAGGAGGGAGGGACACGCGGTCTATATGGAGGACGTTGAGCAGACAGCCAGACACAACAGGTTCCATTGCTAATCAAACACAGAGAGCCCGGAGCGTAATAACAGATCATCCCCTCCCCTATGAACTTCCAGAAACAGCCCAGAAAGGGGAGGGCAGGGCAGGCAGGGGAGGGCAGGGCAGGGCAGGCAGGGGAGGGCAGGGCAGGCAGGGGAGGGTTACAGCTACAGCAGTCAGTGCCTTAAATAACAGGACCCATCCGCTGGCCAAGCCTCAGGCAGCAGACAGGACACAGCTAACCAGAGTTAACCAGAGTGGTCTAAGAGGACAGTCCATTAAACAACACAGACCCTTCAGCAGGGAGGTCACAACAAGAGGAACTCCCACTGGGAGTTTGTGGTACAGAGAGGTTTTATGTCTATGAGACTGTGGTCTGCAACCCCGTGGCATCAGGGCTGGTCCTCTCGGTGGTTCTGATGCATGAGAAGATTAGTGCACTATGACAGAGGATTAGTGGGAACACTTGATGATTCCAGTAAGCCAATTTAACTGAGACGCAATTCAGACGAGGTTCCTGTGTGAACTGGAGAATCAGGTTACATCACTGACCAGAGTCCTTTCAACTGAGACATTGGTGAAACTACAGCGTTGTGTGGTAGAATGCCAATAGAGGCACATGGCTAGTATCATCATCATCATCATCATCCTCACCACCACCACCATGACCAGATGGTTTTGACAGTTGAATGACCACAGCAGTTTTTGTAATCGCCTTTCTGGGGCTATAGTTATTGTGTTGAACGTTTTCAGGGGTCACTTCAAAACCATACTGACGTCATCATAATTGTTGGACAAAGAGGAGCTCTAAACAAACGCACAATGGCGAGACTCCCTGACCAAACAAGGCCACAGGAGAGGAAGGAAGGGGGGAGAGAGGGAGAGGAAGGAAGGGGGGAGAGAGGGAGGAGGGGGTGAAGAGGCAGTGAGGGAGGAGGGGGTGAGGAGGCACTGAGGGAGGAGGGGGTGAGGAGGCACTGAGGGAGGAGGGGGTGAAGAGGCACTGAGGGAGGAGGGGGTGAAGAGGCACTGAGGGAGGAGGGGGTGAGGAGGCTCTGAGGGAGGTAGAGCGAGTGCAGAGGATCGCGCTATCGTGAGAATACGGGAACGTTCAATGGGGGCAGCAGAGAGAGAAAATAGAGAGTGACAGAGGGGAAAGAGAGTGACAGAGGGGAAAGGAAGACAAACATGGTTAAACAATACATCAATATTGTAAAATGTTAACAAGCTGTGTCAGAAAGGAAAGAGACAATGCTAGTTCCTGTATTCCTCAGCAGGCTCTGGGCTGGACCTCTTAGCTGGACCCCGTTATAGTAATAGGGGCGGATGATGATTATTGCAGTGTGAGGAACACTCCGTCATGTCTTCATCACAGGGAGGAGAGATCTGCAGAAGGTGGCATGCAGAATGTCAGGAATCTAATCTCTAACAACGTTTTTTTTTCATTTTTCTTCCTTCTTTCTTCCTCTTCACCCAGATTGGGAGGAGAGAATAAAACACTACATGACCAGAAGTATGTGGACACCTGCTCGTCAAACATCTCATTCCAAAATCATGGGCATTAATATGGAGTTGGTCCCCCCTTTGCTGCTATAACAGCCTTCACTCTTCTGTGAAGGCTTTCCATTACATGTTGGAACATTGCTGAGGGGACTTGCTTCCATTCAGCCACAAGAGCATTAGTGAGGTCGGGCACTGATGTTGGGCGATTAGGCCTGGCTCGCAGTCGGCGTTCCAATTCATCCCAAAGGTGTTCGAAGGGGTTGAGGTCAGGGCTCTGTGCAGGCCAGTGAAGTTCTTCCACACCGATCTCGACAAACCATTTTTGTATTTTTATATATATCTTTTTTTAATGTTACTCCCTTTTTCTCCCTAATTTCGTGGGATCCAATTGGTAGTTACAGTCTAGCCCGAACCATGAAAAACAGCCCCAGACCATTATTCTTCCTCCACCAAACTTTACAGTTGGCACTATGCATTCGGACAGGTAGCTTACTCCTGGCATCCGTCAAACCTAGATTTGTCTGTCGGACTGCCAGACGGTGCAGGGTGATTAATCACTACAGAGAACATGTTTCCACACTCCAGAGTCCAATGAGCTTTACACCACTCTAGCCGACGCTTGGCATTGCGCATGGTGATCTTAGGCTTGTGTGCGGCTGCTCGGCCATGGAAACCCATTTCATGAAGCTCCTGACAAACAGTTCTTGTCCTGACGTTGCTTCCAGAGGCAGTTTGGAACTCGGTGGTGAGTGTTTCAACCGAGGACAGACAATGTTTACGCGATATGCTCTTCAGCATTCAGCGGTCCCATTCTGTGAGCTTGTGAGGCCTACCATTTCGCAGCTGAGCCGTTGTTACTCCTAGACGTTTCCACTTCACAATAACAGCACTCACAGTTGACCGAGGCAGCTTTAGCAGGGCAGAAATTTGACGAACTGACTTGTGGACAGTGCCACGTTGAAAGTCACTGAGCTCTTCACTAAGGCCATTCTACTGCCAGTGTTTGTCTATAGAGATTTCTTGGCTGTGTGCTCAATTTTATACACTTGTCAGCAACGGGTGTGGCTGAAGTAGCCCAATCCACTAATTTGAAGGGGTGTTCACAATCACATACCTTTGTATATATAATGTTTTTTGGAAAAATGCAATTTCTGTCTGATAATTTCATTCTCACATATCTGATACTGTGAGATAACTGGTGTGTTTGGTCCTTGTCTGTGATGTGACAGAAATGCAAGCCCTGTCAGTTTCTTGCCAAGAAATCTACAGCACCATTCACTGTGGATCAGACTTATTATTAAATATCATGCCTCTCTTTTGTTTTGTACAGTTGAGAACCTTATTTGGTCTTTGAAGTTGATTTCTCTGGCACGTCATGCATTTAGATATTAATCTAAAGAAGTATGTACACACAGGTTACATCAACAAATTTAATCAAAGTTTAAACAATATAACACAATTTCAAGAGCACCGATTTTAACATCAAAGTTGAAACAGTTCATCAGTGTCTTGACTACAAAGCTGCCACAGCTAAGGTGAACAGAGCTGTGCACAAGCTGCATCAAAGCCAACATTCCTGCTTCCATTTCAACTAATGTCTATCTGTTAGTTAAATGAACAGAACATCACCAAGAGAAAGGGTTTATTCGTTTATATTTCACAACTAACTCATGCTCCACTTCTAACCAAATAGGCCTACACATGGATATGCATACTATTGCATACACAGTATATTGTTGTTTTTTGTAAATAATTGTTTTTAAGGGTTGGTTTATAAAAAGTAAACTACTTGATGTATGCTTTGTCAGCTGAGCCTCTTTCCCGCCAGCGTCTCAATGGTATTATTTTCATTTTGTGTGAAGCTATTTTATTGATTTCATTCTGTATTCAAATGGTAAAATTGTGATTCTCAATTATTTAGGCCTAGATTCAATCATATCAAGTGTAACCGGAGCCGACACCCGCATAGCTGATGTTTTGGCGGTGTCATAGGTGTAACTGTGTAGGAGCTTTCAAATCGTTTAGTTCAGAACGACAAACTGTAGGCTATATAGAAATAATTAAATTAAATACAATTCTAGGACTTGATTCCTGTCAGAGGTGTTCATAAGAGGTGCATCAACCATTCCGGATTTGTTCACGGTATTACATTTCACGGAAAACATGAGTAGGCTAAAGGGTTTTAAATGATTGAAAACAATACATCATTGTATATTTTAAACTGTATTTTAGCAACCGAATCTTTTACATTTCGAATTTATGTATCATTAAAAATTAACATAATTTGTTTGTGTAATTCCAGATGTTTTGTCACATAAAACATTACATTTTCAAAGATAGACTTCAAACTATTATGTTGAGGTGGTGGGCATGCAGTTTGGTGATGTGGGGGGTTGTGTCCAGTTTTGCGTAACATGACTGGCTGTCATAGGATACAGAAGTGGGAATGGCTACAACAGCTCAAGGCGTGGTGGCCGAAATTTGATTCGCGTTTAAAAGGCCCAGCAGCTCAGAAATCAAGAAGAGTTCGTTGGAGTCCTTTCCCGTCAGAGTCAGGTAGCACCTTATTAGGCCTACGGAGAGGCCCTCAACTCTGTCCCTCTGGCACTGTAACTAGGGCCAAGGCGCGCACATAGGGGCTGTGCAATGCACACTCCCGTCCATGCGCTCCTCTTCAACAGAGTCAACCAGTCTCTGGTTTTCAGTCCTACGGATGAACCGATCATGGGGATACTTGGCAATGGCACCATCCTCCCGAACGGGAGCGATCCTTTTGGAAGAAACGAAGAGGTCGCCAAAATAGAGATAACGGTCCTCAGCATCACCTTTGTGGTGGCCGTGATTGGGAACGTCAGTGTCTTGCTGGCCATGTACAACACCAAGAAAAAGACGTCGAGAATGCACCTCTTCATCCGGCACCTCAGCATAGCTGACCTGGTGGTCGCTTTCTTCCAGGTCCTGCCGCAGCTCTGCTGGGAGATCACCTTTCGCTTCTACGGGCCAGATTTCCTGTGCAGGATAGTGAAGCACCTCCAGGTGATGGGCATGTTCGCCTCCACCTACATGATGGTGATGATGACCTTGGACCGTTACATCGCCATCTGTCACCCTCTGAAGACCCTTCAGCAGCCCACCCAGAGGTCCTACATCATGATCATCAGCACCTGGATGTGTAGTCTGGTTCTCAGCATGCCGCAGTACTTTATCTTCTCTCTGAGTGAGATCAAGAACGGCTCGGATGTCTACGACTGCTGGGGCCACTTCATAGAACCGTGGGGCGTAAAGGCGTACATCACTTGGATAACCGTCGGCATATTCCTCATCCCGGTGTTCATTCTGATGATATGCTACGGGTTCATCTGCCACAGCATATGGAAGAACATCAGATATAAGACCAGAAAGACACCCGCGGGAGGTGCGTCTAAAAACGGTCTGATGGGAATGAACTCCGTTAGCAACGTTACCACTATATCCAGAGCGAAGTTGAGAACTGTCAAAATGACTTTTGTAATTGTCCTCTTTTACATAATATGCTGGTCACCTTTTTTCATCGTGCAGATGTGGTCGGTGTGGGATGAGAGTTTCGCATGGGACGGTAAGTGACTTCTCTGTATTGGGGAAGGTAGATTGGATTGCGCACACAAAATCAACAGATGAAGCTTGATATAGAATTAATAACATGAGCTATCTTCACTCAATTATGTTTTTCTCCCTCTACTAATAACTGATGTTAAAGCCACAGTCTATATAGGAGATTGGGCAAAGCGTTTGGTGATGTATCCATTCTGTGCCCCAAAAAATATTGCTTTTACTCATTAACTGGGATGAATATTTTAATGAATGTCAATGAGAATTGACGTGGAATATGTATACACTTGAAGCAGTATAGAAATTAATCTATATATATCATGGTAAAAAAAATATATATATATATACAGTTGAAGTCTGAAGATTATATACACTTAGGTTGGAGTCATTAAAAGTCGTTTTTCATCCACTCCACAAATGTCTTGTTAACAAACTATAGTTTTGGCAAGTCGGTTAGGACATCTACTTTGTGCATGACACAAGTCATTTTTCCAACAATTGTTTACAGACAGATTATTTCACTTATAATTCACTGTATCACAATTCCAGTGGGTCAGAAGTTTACATACACTAAGTTGACTGGGCCTTTAAACAGCTTGGAAAATTCCAGAAAATGATGTCATGGCTTTAAAAACTTCTGATAGGCTAATTGACATCATTTGAGTCAATTGGAGGTGTACCTGTGGATGTATTTCAAGGCCTACCTTCAAACTAAGTGCCTCTTTGCTTGACATCATGGGAAAATCTAAAGAAATCAGAAAGATGTCAGAAAATTTTTTGTAGACCTCCACAAGTCTGGTTCATTCTTGGGAGCAATTTCCAAACGCCTGAAGGTACCACGCTCATCTGTACAAACAATAGTATGCAAGTATAAACACCATGGGACCACGCAGCCGTCATACCGCTAGAGATTAACGTACTTTGGTGCGTAAAGTGCAAATCAATCCCAGAACAACAGCAAAAGACCTTGTGAAGATGCTGGAGGAAACAGGTACAAAAGTATCTATATCCACAGTAAAACGAGTCCTATATCGACATAACCTGAAAGGCCGCTCAGCAAGGAAGAAGTCACTGCTCCAAAACCGACATAAAAAAGCCAGACTACGGTTTGCAACTGCACATGGGGACAAAGATCATACTTTTTGGAGAAATGTCCTCTGGTCTGATGAAACAAAAATAGAGCTGTTTGGCCATAATGACCATCGTTATGTTTGGAGTAAAAAGGGGGGCTTGCAAGCCGAAGAACAACATCCCAACCGTGAAGCACGGGGGTGGCAGCATCATGCTGTGGGGGTGCTTTGCTGCAGGAGGGACTGGTGCACTTCACAAAATAGATGGCATCATGAGGATGGAAAATTATGTGGATATATTAAAGCAACATTTCAAGACATCAGTCAGGAAGTTAAAGCTTGGTCGCAAATGGGTCTTCCAAATGGACAATGACCACAAGCATACTTCCAAAGTTGTGGCAAAATGGCTTAAGGACAACAAAGTCAAGGTATTGGAATGGCCATCACAAAGCACTGACCTCAATCCTATAGAAAATTCTGACCCACTGGGAATGTGATGAAAGAAATAAAAGCTGAAATAAATCTTTCTCTCTACTATTATTCTGACATTTCACATTCTTAAAATAAAGTGTTGATCCTAACTGACCTAAGACAGGGAATTTTTACTAGGATTAAATGTCAGGAATTGTGAAAAACTGGCTAAGGTGTATGTAAACTTCGGACTTCAACTGTATAGATAGTTGCAACCCAATCTCACACTCAATTCATGCAAATATGTACAAAAAGTATTTCAGCAGATTTCGTGGGTTTTTGTGAGTTTTTGTGTGGCTTAATTTGTGTGAAAATACACACATTTTTGTGCAACTTCATTCATAGGAAAATACCTTTTTGGGGGCAAACTTCGGAAACAATCTTTTGAAAGTTATTAGCGCAATGCATGATGGGCAATGGTGTTCTACACTGCCTTTTTTTTTTGGGTCACACATTTATTTATATATTTAAAAAAACATGTTAACAACCCAATATTGTTAATCAACCAGGTTGTCACCGAAATAATTATAATATAATAGTACGTTGTTTTTTTATTAATGCCAATACTGTTTTCTATGCTTGTTTTCGCTTAATAGTTTGGAGTACTGGTGCCCTTTTTCGTGTAGGCAACAGTAGGCCTACACAATTTTCTTCATAACACATTTCATATTTCCTGGAGCCTACATTACAACATTTAATACATGGCTCCACTTTTTCGTGTACATTACACCATTTCTTTCATAATGCATTTTCATAATGCAATTTTATGAGGGTTGCCAGATTGGAGAAAAAAAAAAAACGTGTTTTTTGTGGGATAGATGAAGGTATTTGATTGGGAAATGGGGATACATTTTTATAATGGGAAATTATAATACACACCACAATACACACACACACACACACACAAACAAACACTTACACACACTCACTTTGTTTATACTCACATTATAGCCAAATCTTGACTTTTGTATGAATTATTTTTTGTATCTAGTTGTCATGTATTCATTACCCCCAGTCAAATTCATTTTGACTGGTAGTGTAACTATACATGAGCTGGACATGATCCCAACACTGCCAATAAAATAGAGTGGAAGAAAGTGAAAGCTGCAACAGGGACTCTAACCAGGGCTCATATGTGGCAAAGTGAGCTCTAACGGCCGATGCCATGAAAGCCTAGCAGGCCTCTGTGCAGAGGCAGTAGGCCTACAATGCTGGCATATGCCCTGTTAAAATAGCCTTAGTATATACCATGATTGACACGACCGTAATAGTCATCATGAAACGGCCTTGGAAGTGCCATAAGTGTAAGCCAACATAATTCATTATTTTACATTAACCTGTTTAACTGCATTGATATGGCTTAATTGATCATAGTCCAGACTTGTTATAGTTGCAAATACCATGCAGTTGCACCTGGGGAATTTAAACCAAACAGATCTTTTTCCCAGGTCTTCTGTTTCCCCATATTTATTGATGAATTAATTTCCCATCATGAAAATGTATCCCCATTCCCCAATCAAATACCTTCATCGATACCACAAAAAAAAAGACAAATACAGCTTCAATCTGGCAACCCACATAAAATCTGACATAGCACCAGTATCCCAAAGTATTAAGCGAAAACAAGCATAGAAAACAGCATTGGCATTAATACAAATTTAAATATAACATAAGGCTACTATACTATTACAAGTATTTCGGTGACAACCTGGTTGATTAACAATATTGGGTTGTTAATACGTTTTTATATATATATACAGTGAGGGAAAAAAGTATTTGATCCCCTGCTGATTATGTACGTTTGCCCACTGACAAAGAAATTATCAGTCTATAATGTTAATGGTAGGTTTATTTGAACAGTGAGAGACAGAACAACAACAAAAAAATCCAGAAAAACGCATGTCAAAAATGTTATAAATTGATTCGCATTTTAATGAGGGAAATAAGTATTTGACCCCCTCTCAATCAGATAGATTTCTGGCTCCCAGGTGTCTTTTATACAGGTAACGAGCTGAGATTAGGAGCACTCCTTTTAAGAGTGTGCTCCTAATCTCAGCTTGTTTATTGTATAAAAGACTCTCCACCATGGCCAAGACCAAAGAGCTCTCCAAGGATGTCAGGGACAAGATTGTAGACCTACACAAGGCTGGAATGGGCTACAAGACCATCGCCAAGCAGCTTGGTGAGAAGGTGACAACATATAAAAATTATAGACTGATCATGTCTTTGTCAGTGGGCAAACTTACAAAATCAGCAGGGGATCAAATACTTTTTTCCCTCACTGTATATATATATATATAAATATAAATAAATGAGGGACACAAAAAAAGGCAGTGTAGAACACCATTGCCCAAAATGCATTGCTCCAATAACTTTCAAAAGATTGTTCAGTAGTTTCCCCTCAAAAATGTATTTGCCTATGAATGAAGTCGCGCAAAAATGAGTATCTTTTCCTACGAATTAAGTCGCACAAAAATGTGTGTATTTTCACACGAATTAAGCCACACAAAAACGCACAAAAACACACGAAATCTGCTGAAATACTTTTTGTACATATTTGCACGAATTGAGTGTGAGATTGTGTTGATATAATTGTGCATAATCCTTTATTGAGCACCACCCTCACCGCATAATTCCGTTACAAAATTTAAACACAGAATACATAGAATCGAAATAATAATAAAAAAATAATTTAAGTGGAAATGTAGCTAAATAGGCATAACATGTATGGTGTCCTGACATCATAGACAAAGTCATTTTAATCCTGTCCCATAATGTTTTTTATTTACCACACTATATGGAGATGTCAGGTGTTTAAATATAGATCAGCGTGTAATTGTTTGCGTTTAGTGATTGTGATTTCACTGCACCGTTGACTTATATCCCAGCTGTTGGACTAATTAGTTGTCTTTTGGTAATTTCCTTTTTTTCCTTTCCTTCCAGAATCTGAGAACACTGCTGTCACATTGTCTGCGCTCCTCGCGAGTTTAAACAGCTGCTGTAACCCGTGGATATACATGATCTTCAGCGGGCATCTCCTTCACGACTTTACTCTCTGTTTCCCGTGCTGTAATAAATTACGTTACAAGTTCAAGAAAGAGGACTCGGAAAGCAGTCTCCGGAGAAATACGGTTTTGACAAAAATGACCAACCGAAGCCCAACGTGCAGTTCGGGCACTTGGAAAGACACTGACAACTACCCCAAGGTCTCCATTCAATCTAGCCAAGTGGATACCTAACACAGCGCGTTAAACGAACAAACACAAGCTAGTGATTATTTATTGATTGACTCTTATTGACTTGATAGTTATAAGACTTTCAAGGTACAACTTTAAAACGGGTTGGAATCTGACAATGATTGACTGATGTGTCTCTAAAATAGATGAGCGATTACACAGTTGTTTTGGGATATATTGTCTGGTATGCCATTTGGTTGGCCAGTCAGAAAAACATCTCAAGAATGAAGTCTTGAGAAAGTAAGAGTGATAAGCTAAAATCACAAAGTGATAAGCTATTTCCTCTGGTAAAAAATGTTATAAGGTGAAGATTCTCTTTTATGTGCCATATAGTCTACAGGCCAGTGTTTCAACAGGTTCCAAACCTGATTCTCTGGAGTCTAATATAGTTTATAATGGGTGAAATACATCAGATCTGAATTTGAAAATGTAAAGTAGAAAAGAAACAGATGAACTATCTAAATACCAACAGCTATATCACTTGAGTAAAAAAAAAAAAAAAAACGTTAGAACATTCCACAATCCCAGGGTCCTCTTTTCAATGCACTCATGACTTTCCAGTCTAGGAATTTCTACAGCAAAACCCAGACTAATTCAGATGACATGACAGATCTCAGTGACCAAGGACCCTGGATTAGATCACAGTCATGCCATTAAGATAGTGCACTTTTTTAATAACGTTAGGCAAATGGTTGCCGTCTGTGTTGGCCATATTTCCCCAGTGAGCCACTCACTCAGTGTGAATTAAAAACGAATTGGGCATGGAGGGTTTACAAAGCAACAGAGGTGTCTGCCTGCCTGGTGGATTTCTACACAGACACCCAAGGCCAGGGGTGCAACTTTGGTTTTAGAAGTGGGGGGGACTTTTTTTATGCAGTGGATAAACACTCCAAACAGCCTACCCGACCGCTCGGAGGCGTCCGCATGGTCCTAAAGCACACCATTGCCCTGTTTTGTATCACATTCCAATGATAAAACTGGGGGGTACAAAAATGCGATTTCAGAATGTCCCCAGTGAAAGTTGTGCCTCTGCCCCAGGCAATGTTCCCTCTAAACTGAGGGGGCGTGTAGTATCCCCGAGACTGCCGCGAAGCTCCCACAGGACTGCTGCCCAGAAGAAATATCAGCCCATGCAGAGGAGCACGAGATTTACTTCACTCATCTTTCTAGAGAAGTGGTCACCAATTGGTCAATTGCAATCGACTGGTCGATCTCCAAGGCATTCCTAGTCGATCGCCAAACATTTCTGTAAAAAACAACAACGATAAAGCCTTGTGTTCCTATTTTTGGCAGTAGGTGCACCTGATTCAGCTGCCCTGCGCGAACTGTTGCCATTTTGAACCATTTCATGTGTTTGAAGGTACAAACTCTGCCTTCCCGGCGGGCCCAGGGAACAAATCAAATGCACTATAAACCTACCAATGGCCAATCGGATGGCTCAGATTACTGTGTCTGCAGTAACGTAACAGGCATAAAAGAAAGCTACAGCAAAGTTGATACTGTGAGATTTCAAAACGTTTAGAACCATGACTAGAGAGAGACTGTCAACGAATACAGCAAAGAGCTGCTGTTTTTATGATTGAGTTCATGTTTAAGTTCTTACTCAGCACTGTCAACACTTTGTATTCAACAGTTTTATAAGACATAAAATGCGCGTTCTTCCTATTTCCACTCAGCGCTACAACAAGCACTGCAGCCGTAATGAATGAGTAGGAAAATGTATCGATAGGCTTTCATTGTTGTTATTATTAGCGGATTGGGTATTTTCTAATACAGAAGAATAGTTCACTTTCATTGTTCATAGGAGTAACAACATGAATTTGTGCCTGAGGCAGAAATAATGCGGTGCAACTGGAAGACGGTGTCAGTGTCAGTGGAGGAAAGGGAGAGTGGAGGGATGTTCAGAGGCGGACCCTCAGTCTGCTGCTCTCTCACTCCACTGAGACTGACCATCAGCAAATTATTTAAATGTACAGTGCATTCGGAAAGTATTCAGACCCCTTGACTTTTTCCACATTTTGTTACGTTACAGCCTAAATTTTTTAGAATAAAATACAAAATCTACACAATACCCCATAATGACAAAGCGAAAACAGGTTTTTAGACATTTCTGCACATTTATTAAAAATAAACATACCTTATTTACATAAGTAAAGATCCTTTGCTATCAGACTCGAAATTGAGCTCAGGTGCATCCTGTTTCCATTGACCATCCTTGAGATGTTTCTACAACATGATTGGAGTCCACCTGTGGTGAATTAAATTGATTGGAAATGATTTGGAAAGGAACACACCTGTCTATATAAGGTCCAACTGTTGACAGTGCATGTCAGAGTAAAAACCAAGCCATGAGGTCGAAAGGAATTGTCCGTAGAGCTCTGAGACAGGATTGTGTCGAGGCACAGATCTGGGGAAGGGTACCAAAACATTTCTGCAGCTTTGAAGGTCCCCAAGAACACAGTGGCTTCCATCATTCTTAAATGGAAGAAGTTTGGAACCACCAAGACTCTTCCTAGAGCTGGCCGCCCAGCCAAACTGAGCAATCGGTGGAGAAGGGCCTTGGTCAGGGAGGTGACCAAGAACCCAATGGTCACTCTGACAGAGCTCCAGAGTTCCTCTGTGGAGATGGGAGAACCTTCTAGAAGGACAACCATCTCTGCAGCACTCCACCAATCAGGCCTTTATGGTAGAGTGGCCAGAAAGAAGCCACTCCTCAGTAAAAGGCACATGACAGCCCACTTGGAGGTTGCCAAAAGGCACCTAAAGGACTCTCAGACCATGAGAAACAAGATTCTCTGGTCTGATGAAACCAAGATTGAACTCTTTGGCCTGAATGCCAAGTGTCATGTCTGGAGGAAAACTGACACCATCCCTACGGTAAAGCATGGTGGTGGCAGCATCATGCTGTGGGGATGTTTTTCAGCGGCAGGGACTGGGAGACTAGTCAGGATCGAGGGAAAGATGAACGGAGCAAAGTACAGAGAGATCCTTGATGAAAACCTGCTCCAGAGCGCTCAGGACCTCAGACTGGGGTGAAGGTTCACCTTCCAACAGGACAACGACCCTAAGTACACAGCCAAGACAACGCAGGAGTGGCTTCGGGACAAGTCTCTGAATGTCCTTGAGTGGCCCAGCCAGAGCCTGGACTTGAACCCGATCTAACATCTCTGGAGACACTTGAAAATAGCTGTGCAGCAACGCTCCCCATCCAACCTGACAGAGCTTGAGAGGATCTGCAGAGAAGAATGTGAGAAACTCCCCACATACAGGTGTGCCAAGCTTGTAGCGTCATACCCAACAAAGTACTGAGTAAAGGGTCGGAATACTTATGTAAATGTGTTATTATTATTTTTTTATGGGGTATTGTGTGTAGATTGATGAGGGAAAAAAACGATTTAATCAATTTTAGAATAAGGCTGTAACGTAAGAAAACATGGAAAAAGTCAAGGGGACTGAATACTTTCCGAATGCACTGTATATACTGTGTCACAGTTCCTCTCATAGCCTCCCCAGCCTTAGCAACATTTGAAAAAATACACATTCCACAGCACGGGCTACGTGGGGAAAGAACTCACACACAGAAACACTTCTTGACTTCCTGCCTGGGGAAACCTATTGTTTTGGACACAGCACGCATGATAACACCAGGCTACACATTTTGCTGTACATTCATGCCTATGTATTCTATAGGATGTGACTGACAATACAAGCTTTTATTTTCCATCGATTTCATTGTGTATCAAAAGGAAAATACTGGCGTAAAATATTAAACCTAAAGTATAGGTTTTCCAATTTGTATATACTGTATAATTGGAATATATATTTGTATAGAACACATTTTGCCCAGGTTGAAGATATCTATATGAATAATTTATGTAAAGTTGTGTAATGTGACTTTGTATCTATTTTCCCTTGCACACATTGTAAAGACAATACATATTGCAGAACATATAAAGAAAATATGCTATACAAACTTTACATTGTAATGCCTCTGTCTGTTTTTTGAAATAAGTGTCACGATCGTCGGTGAGAGAGGAGGACCAAGGCGCAGCGTTGAATGCGAACATATTTATTTATATAATGATCACACGATCAAAACAACAAAACGAAAACGTGACGTCCCTGGTTACATACACAAACCAACACGGAACAAGAAACCACAATGAATGAATGCCTAACGGCTACCTAAGTATGACTCCCAATCAGAGACAACGAGCTACAGCCGTCTCTGATTGGGAGCCACCCTGGCCAACATAGATATACAAAAAACTAGAATACCCAAAGGAAACTCACACCCTGGCTCAACATACAAGTGTCCCCAGAGCCAGGGCGTGACAATAAGTAACAAAGGAGCCACTACTGGTAAGAGGAACCCATGTGACATGTCTGAAATGGCACCCTATTCCCTATATAGTGTACTGCTTTTTACCAGGGCTCACAGGGCTCAAAAGTAGATCAAACGTAGTGCCCTATATAGGGAACAGGATGCCAATTTCAGATGCACACTTGGAAACGTGGTAACTGCTGCAGGAGCTTCACTCAGCCTGGGAGGAGGTGATGTTCAAGGTTTCTCACATCAACTCTCTGTGAGCAGCAGCATAGCATCTCTCTCTCTCTCCCATAGCCCTGAGTGGCCATGTATGGGTCAATACCAACCACATCTGGGTTCAAATAGGATTCAGGTGGGCAGTGTTGGCATTTCTAGAGACTATTTATTTTGTTTATTTTGTGTAATATATCTTTTTTCCATTTCTTTATTTTTTCTACAAAACATACATACATGCGAACGACAACTTACAGACACCTACAAACAATGAATACATCTCTTCTGCCCAGACCTGCATGATCACACCTCCATCCCTAGTGCCTGCATTATTGTTTGCCACATGGTCTTAAATTGGACCAATTTGTTTTTCTCAGTCGCCCATGCTATTTCAATATTTCAATAATAAATCATTAGATTTTTCCATTGTGTCAATGATGGCGGATTGATTGACTTCCAA